TGGAGACACAATTACTATCTGTTAGCTCCATTCGAAAGCATCCTATCAAGTTAGGTCTAACTTGCAAATTTGGGTGTACTGTCCCAAGTGAACGTTCCAGGATGAACTGAGGATTGTACTTTAGGATCGATTTCGAAGGGTGGTCAATTCACATTTGTTTCCTTCTGGTTATTACGGAAGATTTTTGCAAGCTGCATTTCTCCTACCTTTTCGAGATCACAATAGCTTATTATATGATATGAAGAACTGAGGAGCAAGAGCATATTCTTTACGTTGCTGTTCGATTTACAATTCGGTAATGCACAGCTTCCCTCATGTTGAGTTATTCATATTTGTCGGAATATGAGTTGCATATATCTACAAACAATTAAAATGTATTTTCCCCCTTCTTCATCTAACCAATCGTGTGTGTGAGTGCAGAGTTGGTTTCACTCTGAATGAGCAAGAAGTTGACGCAGAAGCGCAATACTTACTGGATGTGGCAGTGTTTCGGTAAGTTCTCCTGTTTGAATGTGAGTAATGACCTAGGTGTAGCAAGTAACTTGGAAGCCAATTAGTTGGATCCAGCAGAAATGGATGTTGTTTCTTGGAATGATTCACAATGAGACCATATTGTTAAAGTGTGCTGAAGTCAGAATAGTGGAGAATAGTGGATATCCTTCTGAAATGGTCATTATTCGTTGATTATGCTGACCTGCATGTGCTCACCACTAAAGCGGTGAAAGGGTCAATTTCAGCTTCAGTTTAAACATTCATTAATAATGCAATTTCGTGCAGTGGTTTTGGTTTCTGTCTTTTGGCTGCTTATTTGTATTAAGCGATAGAAGTAAGATCTGAATGTTGAAAGTAGTGTGAAGGTGACAATAGAAAATTCACGTGAACTAAGTTTGTAAAGACAATAAGTGGATATACGAGTGCTTGCTGTCTTTGATCATCGATTACCATGATCCTGCAATTCTCATCCAAGAAACCTGATGCGCCCTATATGATCGAGTCTTTTGTTCAGGGTTTTTACACTCTCATGCTAGGACTTAGTTTGACCACCTCTTACTTTTTGACTCATTGTCCTCCTCTGCAGCCGTTGCGCCCTGTGAAGACCTATATGGTGGTAGGCATAACACATGCTCCAATCAGCATAATTTATAAAAGTCAACCACTTGCTCCACTGAGCGACCGCGATCATCTAAAACTCTGCGCTCCTTGTTTCTTCAAATGACCCAATCGCTAGTCTTAATTCCAACTCACTGGACTCGTAAGTGAACAAATCAGTATGCCAGCTTAATAACTTGAATCTAGTAAGCTTCTCCTGATTGAGGGATGATGTCAGGGTTCCACATGTTCCATAGGTTTCAGTTTCAGATGAGCTTCAAACCTTAGTATTTGTTTCCTATGAAATCTGACCATGAATTTATTTTAACAGAGCAATTATCGCCTTGCTATATCAACGGACGGCGGTGGCAGAGTGGTTAGGGTCAACAAAATAGCAACCTGGAGGTCCCAAGTTTGAACCCCGCCATCATCGCCCATCTTCCCCCTTTCTCCAAGCAGCTTTTGTGAGGCCGCGGCCTTCTTCCTGAAGATTGTACATTTGTATACTCCATAAATAAAAAAGGAAGTAAAAACATTTATTTATTCATTAAAAATGCCATTAGAACCGTGTACATGCTAGAATTCCTTTGTCACCTTAGGAACGTGATTTTAGAAAAGTCTAAATAGCCGATTTACAGTAAAAACTAAATATGAACTAGTGTCTATTCTTGTTTACGTCTACACCGAGTTTCAATTGAGTATTTTGCGCATACGATGCATACCGTCCAACCGTTTTGCCGGAAATGTTTCAACTTACCAATTGGACTTTCACCGAAACGATCGTGCATCACGATCACATTGATTCTGACCGATATGAATGAACGAATGCAGTTGACCAAGGAAAATCGATGAGTATAGCCCGTCTGAGCCCATCCCAACCATTTGTTTCAGTGAAATGCCACTTATGAGTTTGTGAACTCGTATTAGATAAAATCCAGGAGTATTTCTTTAGAACACCCTGTTATATCTGTGCGCGGGGCTTCCGATCCACATGCTGACCCGATAGACGTCACACTATGCTCTGTTGGGATTCGTACGTAATTTTCTTCTCTCCTTCCATTTTATTTAGGACCTCCCCGACTTTCTCGTACCCTCAAATAAGGCCAAGACACGGAGATTAGTAACAAAATCTGAGGACTCATGACCTCTGAACAAGGCACTGGATGCAACCTATAAATGGTCTTTCCCCGTTTGAATTTCATGTAACGCTAGAACAGCCGGGAAATTCGCTATTCTCGAATGGCCCATGTGGTCGAATTTGACTTTACCCTCATTTGCAAAGTGAATGAGGGGTTTTACACTGGTGCCATAGGAAGCTTCAAGATCTGGCGAAAACACACAGGATTTTCGACTCTAGCTAGGCGAGATGTTCTGTTTTACAGCATAACTGGCACGGCTTAATATTTCACAAAGAAAAAGCGAATATTTACGTCCAAACGTGTATTTCAAATTTACAGTAACAGTAGGAAGCAAACAGAAGAAATCTTCGGTTTGCGTTCGGTTGAAACACCAGATGAACCATGTCCATTAAACTACACTTCCCAATGACGCTAGATGATGAGTGGTTGATTTTGGCATCCGCACATTTTACACGTTCTAATGGTATCTGAATCTGTGGAAAACAATTTCAACGAACGGGTGTTGGTTGACTGTTAATCGGTGCGTATTTGGCTCACAATGTTCTGTGGAACTTCCATTTAAGTGATTCACACACTAAGAAACTCTATGAAGCATTCAAAGCTAATGGACTCAGTATTTTCCCCCAAGCGCAATCGACTCCTTTAGCTAAAGGCACATAGATCTAGATTTCTCCAGTTTATTATCAGCAACATCCACAGCGTCTTTGCATTAGTTTTTAAACAGTACCATTGTAGATTTCGCTTTCTGTTTGTTATATATGTCTGCAACGACACTATTTTTCCTCTGATACTTCACAAATAACAATTTGCTGCTCCCACAAGAGTAAAGTACATTGAAGTAAACTTCAAACTTCTTCGAAGCAGCTCCTTATGGTGCATGAGGCATGCATTTTTAGTCACTCAGTAAACTACAATTAAAATAAACAGTAGTTGGCTGTTTCGTCTCCGATTTTATTTGAATTTTTATCAGGCCTATAAAAAGTGTTGTATTCATACGGAAATCCCTTGAGTCATTTAGTGAACTGCAGTTGAAAAACTCATGCAAAACTATGTTTTCGAAAGGGATCTGAACTGAGATACACTTGTCCGAATACCGCTTGTTGTCAAAATTAACTGTTTTAGTGCTAAGATCCATTGATCCTGAATTTTCCAGGTCATAACGGTCACTTCCCGCAAGTTTGTCCAATAAAATCGACTGCTTCACACATTTGCATGATTGTTCCGGAGGACTTGAGTTTCTCCAAGAATTGCGCTAAGGCATCATCGATGGTGCTAAAACGAATTAAACTACTGATTGTGAGTCTGCCTTCTTCCCATATGCGTATTTTGGGCCTATCTGATCGTCCACTGAGCACGCGATTCAGACTTTTAGCTTGTGGCGACAGCGAGTGCTCAGAATGTACAACACATCAAACTGTTTCCCACCATCTTGTTATATGTATCCCAGTGATGAGATCTTTCAAACTGCGCGGTTCTATGTGACATTGAGAAATCCCACATTTTCTTTATACTTTTAAGGTGCCTAATAATAAACAGCAATTTTACTACTTTTACGGACTAATTTCCAAAACATTTATGAACATAATATACGGGGAAAATATAGACGTTGACCCTGTGAACTTTTCCATGAAACAACAAAATTTGTATTTGAAATTATTTTCCATATTCATTTGTAATCGTGTCAAGAAATTTTCTAGCTTTTGTCGGAGCATAACATTCGGCGCACATCTCGTTCTGTTTTTGGTTCCTTCATTATCACCTCATGTAAATCGGTACAGACACATGGATACCGCGTTGATTGACTGTGACGTCCAACCAAATTATATTCGAGTCACATTACGTGGCAAAGTAAGTTTTATCCAATAACCTGAACTGACTGCCTGTTGTTACCAAAGGTGGTATGTTTTATTCATCCCATTAACAATCGCGTCGTATTCGAATTCCTGTACTTTGATGCTGTTAGATGAACTTCCCGGATATCGCGGATAGCAGCTGCCCACGAAGGACGATTGAAGAAGCAGCCTAACCCTGATTCCACTCGGTGTATGCCACTGGCATGCCGGGAATCTTAATTTTCCACATTCGATTTGATATTACTTTATCACAGTTTTAAACGTTTATCACGGCAATAGTGCCAGTCCGGAGACAGGAAAGTCCCTCTTGAGTTCTGTAAATGAACAAACGACGTAGAACGTGACCAAACCACGGCAATCATTTTCGTTGTATAATCTGTGTTGATCGCCTAATGTCATAACAGTGTCACCTTACCAATTGTTTCACGATAATTAACTTTAGCAATCCGACCTGAGCCTCAGTGATCGAACTCTAAGTTTTGTATACTTTCAGCACATACTGTCCGTGTCTCACTACTGTACTTCAGTGTTATAGTGAAAACAATCAACTAGGTACATTTACTGATGATGAAAGAACCATGACAATTTACTTCTATAAGGGCAATCGCCGATTAATGTGCTTAGAGTAAAACCAGTATGATTAGTGATCACTGTTCATGCTGAATGATCCTGTTGATTGATCCAAACCAATGACCATTCCGTTTTACTCAACTTACAAAAGCTACGTTTCATTCTCATCAATTGGAAGCTCTAATGGCGAGCTCCCTCCGTTTTTTTGTCCATGTGATTTACTTCACAGCTGTTAAGCTGGAACCTGTTATTTTGAGAACGGTTTTGAACATCTAAGGACTAATTTGGGGGTTGAACCATGGTAATGTAGTCCTGTAGAACGATCGTATATTTTTAATGCGGACAACTATGCGCGAAGAATGTAATCACACAGTAATGCACTTGATGTTTGAGATATGTTTTCCTGAGTATGCAGTTACCTTATTTCTTCCCCGTTTTTACTGTTAACCAATTCACCATTCGTCTTCACTGACTGTCTTCTGAGTCGGCCGGATGGTGTGTTGGACCCTTTGACATGTGATCAACAAGTAATAATTTACTAAGTATTCGTGGTGCCGTGTGTTTATCGAATATGTAACTTCATAATTTAGTGCTAACAAGTGTGAACTCGTTCTTCGCGTATCACTCACTGAACGCATTTTGACTATACTGTTTAAACGATTTTGTCGCATGTCCGGTTTGATTTGGGCTCATCATCTGTTTGACTGCTTAGCCACCAATAATCACCAGTTTATTCAGTTGATCATGCATTCGGGGAACAATAACTTGAAGATTTGCTCTTATTGTAGCTCATTAGTAGTATATTTATATTAGCCCATTAGGGATTCGAACTCCTGACACACACTATTAAAGGCACGAACGTTATCATCGTGGCAACCCGGAGTTGTCTGAGTTGAGTTCGCATAAAGCCAGCGTATTCGGAATGTACTCAACCAAAGACGGAGTGATCAGACTGCACGGTTATGGTGATACTGTTTTGTATTATAATGCTCAATAGTTTTATAATATGTTATTGTTAGGTATTCATTGTAAGACACCTTACTCTCTGGTCGGTAACATCGCTACGGTAAAACTGCGGGGAAACAAATGAGATTTTCAGTATCAAATACCCATTTTGCTTATGGAGAGTGATATGTGGTTATATAGGACTAAGAAAATCAATTCGAGAACGCCTGTTGAGCCAGAAGGAAGCGCCGAAGCGGGTATTCGAATGAATTGTCTGAGAACACTCAAGGCGGTAATACCCACACAGCGTTCAGTACTTTCCACTCAAAAGTATAAACAATGCTCAGATTACTAACGTGAAGGAGGACTTTCTACAGCATGCTGTGGGTAATTTTTATCTTATCGGACTGTGGAAAAGTATTGTTCATCTAACGGGCACTGAATTCACGACTGTTTTGATTGGGCTGAGCCTCATACTTCGTGAGGATGCTGCTGTCCTCAATGGGGGAAAGCCGCTATTCAGTTGTCTGCGAGCTGATCTAGGTATTTTTACCATTGAAATGAATGAACCCCATAGCCCTATAGAATCGACTGAGCAGTTACGAGGCCCAACAATTTCATCATTGAGACCGTGTATGGCTTCTGTGGGATAGACTTTGTTTATGAGTCAGGAACCGCGAACCTGTCTATTACCAAACTGAGATGACAATTTCCGAATTAGGAACGTGAGCCATAATTATCGGCTCACGTCAACGACGGTAATTTCAATCCTTCGATTTCCATCACCAAATGCACGATCGAAGAGAATTAGGTAACAGGTTATCCAGTGGATGGATGTGGAGATGACAATTCTCAGTGCCATTGTCTAATCGATGAAGGTGACCAAGTCTCGTGAAAAAGCCGGCCGACTATGCACAATGTACCGTGACATTTTTATCCCTAAAACACGAGTATTGTTTGCCTCTCCCAACATTCTGATGATAGAGTGGTGTGAGAAGACACAATGGTCTTATTACCTACATCCCCGATCAAATATTTAGTTTTCTAAACATAAAGAACTTGAGTTGTTTAAAAAACCTATCCAATACAACTATTCACAATGAAAATGCTCCTGTTTACGTTCAAAAGATGACTAAACGAATCTTCCATATGGTCGTTATTTTACACAGGTACTACAGCTAGCCCTTCCGGAAGAAGTACAGGCTGACAAGTCGCATGCTAAACGCTCTCAAACCACTGGTCATCTGCTTGTTACTATGCCAAAGGTAAACGTCAAAAGGGCATGGATTGTGAAGTTGTAATGATGAGGATAACTTTCTGGACAATTGGCGCTTGGCTCCCGATCACGGGATCATCTTTGCACTATACTGTATTGGTTAACACTGACGTACCAATGATAAATTGACTTTTCATTATCTATTTCACTGATAAAAATAGTCATAATCAGAACAAAGCATTGAATGAGTAAGAGCATATTTTCTGATCGATTTTAGCAAAGTGAATCAGTAGATCACTCACTGGTAATTGCTGCTGTGGTCTTGTGTGCGGCTCGTGATCACATCCTCCAATATCACTTGGCCAAATTCTAGCAACGCAACTCAAACATATCACTTTTCAGTATCCTTCCTCGAAATCGACGGTGTGACTGTTTGTCCATTGAGACCAAATAAAATTTCATTTTTAATTATTATTTCATATATTGCTCCATTAAAATAACTGATCGCCAAAGAATTATGTGAATTATTTTGTTACATATATATATATATATATCGAATCATAAATTTGATTCATAAATGGACTGTACAAAAGTTTACTGGATACGCATGCCTGATGACCGGTCAGAACCGCAATATCGGTCGTAAGCTTCCAGAGAAATGATTTAGCTCGTCCAAATATTACTAATTATATTCTATATTTATGTGACCGCACCAGTAGGACAATATAAAAAGGTAGGTCTCAGGTACACATGAGAACGAATAGGGGAAAAGCTATTGCAGAGAACCAGTAGAATAAAAATAATGGCGTATTTTCATCATCGTACTTACTTGAGACATTAAAATATATAAGATATTATTATCAGAAATGTCGCCTGATCAACCCAGTCAGATATTCGTATGAATGTTTGACTGTTCAAGAGAGTTAGGGCATTCCGGCTCCTCTCTTACGAACTATTTTGGATGGATTAATTGTAAATTTCCGAGGAATTCATTGGATTTAAGGGTTGCACAAGATATAACTGTGTTCCTCGACTATCTTGGTAGAATTGCATTATTCTCCATGTTTTGAGTCAACGTTTATTGACAAAGACTGTGTTGTTTGATTATGTATAAGGTAAGTAAAATTAACTTACACAATCCTGATAACAAGAAACTATAATGAAGTGATTACTGATAATACTACGTGATCGAGTTCTTGAATATGAGTGTTCCAAATTGGAAAAGTTTTCCAAAAAGGCAACTGCAGACGTTTGTCACATCACACAAAGCCATTATTTCATGTTTTTTTTAAAGTGAACCAATCATGATTTTTTTTCATCACTCCATCGGGTATTTGTTTTTTTTTTAGATATTTCTAATTTGCATCTTTTTTGTATTTCACGCGACTGAATTAGCCTAGGTACCCGCGAGGTTAACCAAATAGGAGTTCACAACGTGAGACGCTTCGCGTTACTGACCTCATCTGATCTTTCCTGATCCCTATGAAATTGAGCAATGTGCCACAATTATACGACATAAACACCCCACCCCCAATTTCGGACAGTTAATGGGAAAAATATGTGCCATGAAACTCAATGTACCAATTTATTTTTCTCTCGCTGTTCTCTCACCTTATTATTGAGTTGATGCGAAATCGATACATAATCTATATATCTCCTAATTCGTTTTACCTTAATATTAAATATGCTTTATCGCTTTGAAGCATATATATGTACTACTAGCTTGCAGACATTCATGGTGGCAACGTAAGAACATTACTATTAATAGTGTTGTGAGATACTACTCACTTGTGAGTAGTAAGTAACGTAGTTGATTACTTTCAACGACCAAAAACCAACAAGATCCCTGAGGGCAATTTGCTGTATCTCAAAGAAGAACTATCAGTTTCTACATTCATTACCTTTCGCGTGGCCGGGAACTGCAATGGTATGTTTCTGATTAGATTTTTGTGTTATTTATGCCAAACTGGCAGTGTCCCCTCAGTGATCACCAATAAACGACTATCCTCGACCAGCACCGCTTTCTGGAATTATAAAAATAGTAAGCGTGAGTTTGAAGTACAGCACAGAATGACGTGGAGCACAAACAATTCTGGAGAATTAAAAACTATACTGATACTCATCCACTGTATCTGGGTTTTTTTAAATTTACCACTTGCAATCTGTATTACGCGTCATATAGAGTTTCTACATTGTGCAAAATTGTTAATTATTTTCAAATTACAAACCCCCTAGTGTGTGCTTAAAACAGCTTGTATGTTTTTGTCTCCCACGAAATGAAGAATATCATTTGCTCAGTATGCTGTCGTTTCTCCCTTTTGCACACACCCACGTTCGTCGATTTACGCACGTGCTGGCGAATTTCTTATCACCAGTCGAAATGACACCTTCAGTGGGTGTGCTGTGATCCTGTCATCTCTGATTGCTGTCCACATAAGGCACGGGCTTTGGTACTTGTTCACCGTGTCTCATAAATCTACTGGATGCGGACAAATGATTGTGACTGATGAGTCTCTATTTTTTCACTGGAGCACACACACGTAAACAAATGCACAACTACCTGTCATACTGGAGAAGGTCTCGCGAAAATGCCATCAATCGGTCTATGAATTCGTTCGATATTACTGTTACCACCTGAACGCCTTTAACTGTTTTGATATTATGTGCGTGACACTCGATAGAATTGTGAGAACCTCACAGTTCGAAGAAGATTCTGTACGCTTCGCGAAACAGGCGAGGGGATTTGGAATGGCGAAAATCGTATGCCTCGCTTTGACCAGCAAACTGACTGTTTTGTTTTTTTCTGGCTTGTTTCACGAAAAAAATTATTTGGTTTTCGTGCATTCTCACATTTTAGATGGGATTAAATCTGTACNAATGTTGTGGATAGCCCGGGTATTAGTATAATCTTGCTTTAGTAAGTTCTCCTGGGTTCCGTGTTTCAATAGAGAGCCGGGAGTAGCCTAAAACTATCAGAGTGCCTTTTCGCGAGCACAAACACACCGAGTTTCTCAAACATCATGTATAAAATCTCTAATGAGTGGCATATGAATGACTGGACAAAATTTCCTAGAAGCACACGATCGGTTTCGTGATCCTTGTCACTGTCAATCTATTCATTCCTTTGGATCATCCTTAAGCATTTTTCTAATCCACTCATCAGTATGCGGCGGAAAAAATATTCAGAGAACGATGCGGCTTAGTACTGTTCAAGAATTTCATTGGTTTCTATATTACAAAAAAGGTACAAAAGAACTGCAGATTTGTACACGTCGATTTATTCGTCATACACATACACGATTATTTACCACTGACCAGTAAAATAATAGTTCTTTTAAACCGGTTAATTGCATCGTGCAACAGATAACCCAGCAGAGATAACAAAATACTGTTCCGGTACACTAATATCCCGAATAGTTGGCGTGGAAGACCTTGACAAAATCAAGTGGGCATATACTGGGCGATGACCGAGAGACTTGACAATAAAGTCAATTTGCAGGTTTGAGGAGATTCATTAAACCTTGCTTTCCCACGCTGTCGCTCTATCAACCGGGCAATCATATGATATTAATCGTACGCAAGACTGTGTATCATCCTAAACTTTGGGTTCCCATCTGTTCGTGGTAAACACGAGCACATTGAATACAACCATTTTGTGAGGGAATTTCACACATTCCAACAATCGTTTTGCCCTAAAAACTTTGGCATATTTAGTAATAACCTATCGCACATAAAAAAACAGTTTGCAGTAATAGAAAATTCTCAACAGCACCGTGGAACCGTAAGACACTTGTTTGTCTCCCGTATGAAAAATTTTCGTTCCTCAAAAGGATGATCAATGAAAGTATATATACCTAGAATAATCACCCATTAGTGAAAGATGACTTTTCATACGGGAAATGAACAAGTGTCCTGCTCGTCTGAACTCAGAGGTGTGTGAACTATACATGTATTTTTTTCACAAAAGTTTGAGTCTAGGTTGTGTGCCAAACAAATCACAGTACAATGGCCTTTATAAAAAGAAAAAGGTTTCATTGAAGATCACTACTTGGAAGACATTCGCCTAGGATTACTTAATCGACTTATTTATACATCCACTCTGAGAAAGCTCCTTCATTACTTCTACCTTTCGGTGCACGCGCCCAGGAGAGAGAGATCTTACACCAATACCTCTCGCTTCACCTATTGACTTCGATCAAGTGCATACAAACATTACCTTGAACGTCCGGGAACATTTTTTTGAACTAACTCACTGTTTAACGTGATTTCATTTAGATGTGCAAAACCGTGTTTTTAAGTGCCGATGAGTTAATTGGAATCCATGGACTGTCTTTTGCTCTATCCCCGCTCAACTTAATAGGCCGATCAAAAGATTGGTTCGCGGATTCCCGATCGGTCTAAAAAGCCGTTGACCAAGCAAAAATTCCAGTGAGTCTAATATGTGTATTCCCTATTGGTATTGTGTTTCAGGCACTGCACAAAACCGCATATTGTGCTTTGTCTCTTCTCGTCTACATTTTTTGCTAACTGTTCTCTGACACATTCATTCTCGTTCGATAATAGACACACAGACGCGCGAGAAGTATTTATTTGTTAGTTGAAAAATCCGTTCATTCCGAATGATTTAGCTTTGTGTTAAACCTGGCCCCAGAGGTGTGTTAGCCAAAGCGCAAATCTCGCTGAGATTCTCAGTAAAAGTTGACCGATGTATATATTTCAAGTGTATATATACAACAATTTTAATTGTAACAATAGGTTACAGTTATTACAGAAAAGCTCATTTATGGAGCGATCACAGTTCTCAATGAGACTTTTGTCTTTGAACAGTATAAACTTAATCAGCTGAGCCCATAAGGTGACCCTCAGTTGACAATAAATGCACTCCTAGCACTTCCTTATCATAGTGCTCAATCAATAATATGTAGATGCAATCGCATACCAAATTGTTTCGCAGAACAAACAGATCTGACTGTTACGCATACGCAAACACAAGTAAATCAGATCGGGAGAAGGCCTATACTTACTTGCATCCTAATGGTATCTAACTCACGTTGCAAATTTGTACCCAATGATATATGTTACTTA